GAAGTGTCCAGTGCAAATTTACTGCCTTTTGATTCTCTTCCTGTACAGGAGGCCGCTCCAATCGAGCAAGGTGACTGGGTCTACATAAAGGTCATCAAACGAAAGAACTGGACGAGTCCACGGTGGGAAGGACCGTTCCAAGTGCTGATGACCACACCAACAGCTGTAAAGATTGCTGAAAGACCCAGCTGGATACATCTCAGTCACTGCAAGCTGCAGAGAGTGTTGGATCCCTAATCCGGAGTGGCGAGGAAGGCTGGTTACACAGGGATTCCTGACCAATAGGGCGGTTTGTCTCAACGCCAGTGAAGAAACTCGACAGATCCTCACTCTTTAGTTTGGGGGTTCTGACATCTCTGTACGCCGAGCAGCAATGGGGACTCCATATGCCAGATGGATCTTCTACTGCGCTGTGACTGCTGTATGCTTGATGTTTGGAGGAAGAAGCGAGCCTGAGTTCCACCCGCATGACTACAGTACCAATCTGTGGTGGAAACTGATGAACAGAACCGCTTATGAGGGACATGCTGTGAACTGCTACGTGTGTGCGCAGCTGCCGGTTTCCATACACAACTCAGGTCTCCGACCAGGTAACATTACTGACGACAAACAGATGTGTCTCTATGTTCTAAGCACCAGACCGCGGCGCATCCCACCCCTAAGGGGAGACAGACCACGTGAGAAGGACTATTCAGCTGACCTCCGGATGGGAGAGGCTGTGCAAGGACTGTTTCAATCTTTAAATTGTTCACTTGCAGACGATGTACTTCCTTTTCCGTCATCTCAACAAACTGTATGGAAAATACCAGAGACCATTTCTTTAGCAGGAGCTAAACCAGGATCTCTGAGGAGCTGTGTTTACAACAACGGACACGTTTCTCTTGGGATGCCACCTTGGAACTTGTGTAACAAAGTTTACACCTACTGCGACACGACACCGGATTACATCAACTGCATTGCCTGCAGGGGTCAGAGGGCAACCCCCGGCTGCAAAGTCTGGAAGGACAACCCAGACTGTGACAACTTGCTTCAGGAGAAAAAATTTATGCAAGGCATCTTTCCATGGGTCGGAGTAGGTGAGATTCGAAGCCACGTTGAGATCAACAGATATGAATTACTGCGACTCATCAACAGTACACAGCCAACGGCACCGTGAGAGAGCTGACTGAACTGAGAAACATGGTTATGCAAAACCGTGTTATATTGGACTTCCTCACAGCCTCTCAGGGAGGTGTTTCTAAAATCATTGGCCCAACGTGCTGTACTTTTGTGCCTGATGAAACAGGAACTGGAGGAACTTAAACATTACATAGAAAGTGGAACACAAGGATCATCTCCTTTTGATTTTCTTTCTTGGCTCACTTCCAGACCATGGTGGAATTTACTGGTGAAGCTTGAAACACCTATTCTGGGTGTTTTGATTCTTTTTTGCCTGTTCATAGGTTGCATTTTTCCATGCCTTCGAAGCATGATGTTTAAAACAATTAACACAACTGTTATCAACTATCAGCTGGCAAAGGCATCTTATGAGACAACTGAAGATGACTTGTTTCGAGTTCTGATGGTTTTCTGAACAGTGATGAAGTTCTGTAATCAATAAACAGATGAATTCAGTTGCTGAATGACTCCTACAAGTGGTTGTAGAGATGAGTAACCTGCATTTGATTTTTTGTTGTTTCTTTTATTTTTTTTATTTATTTCATTATATTACATTTATTCATTGTGTATTTTCTGTATTTAGATTAGAAGAAAAAACCTTTTGCATTTATTGGTTCTTTTCTTTTATTTTATTTTCTATGCTTGGCTTTTGCATAAAGTTTACACACATAGAAAAATAATAAAAAGGGGGGAAATGATAGAGATTTTTGGTATTATCATTTTGTTATTACTTTCAGTCTAATGTTAATCAGTATTATTGTGACTTTTAGTTTAAAGTGTTTTCTTCCTTATGTGTGTATAAACTGACCTGGAGGTTACAACTGTCTGTTTATCTTCATATGAGACAGTTAACTCTGTGTTTCCCAGACCTTAAATTCTTCTTGTGTTAGTTTGACCTAGAGCTGAACTGGGCTCAGACCGTAGATCAGATATCACACCTGGCTGGTTTGTTTAGGTTAGAAGTTTTACGACCTTTGTTGTTCTTCCTGACTGCCCCTTTTGG